ATCTACCTCTTGGTTTTATAGTTCAGTGAAATGAATCCCTCCCTCTCTACCTCTATTTTTTTTTAAAGCTATTTTAAGTTCTATCACCAGCAACTAAAAAAGCCTTATTACCCAGGATCTGCTGTGAAATTGACACAGAAGGAATAAATGAATCTGATGTCTGGAGTGGGGGCAGGGGGGAAGTAAAGAGTATAGAAAAAAAGCTCATCCAAATAAATATTTAATAAAATACCACAGCAAATAAACCACTAAAGTAGAAACCCCACAGGACTTTAAAAATCTGTGTAGTCCTTTAGCATTTTCATAGGACTTTTGAAGAAATGGCTTAACAAGATAAGTTCCTTAAAACTATATACAGAAATATCAAGTGCAAATATTTTAAAGGGTAAGAGCAGTACTCAATAGTGCTCAACAGTGGAAACCATACTTTTAAATTTAGGGAAAAAATGCTCTTGGCCATAAAGTTAAGTTCGGACTCTATTTTCCAACTTTGTCTGAGAGGCCGTTATTCCCAAATGCTGTTGGTCTTTCTGATAAAAAGCTAGTAAGGCAGAAAAGCTTTTTCTGTTTTGGATTGTTTTTCCCCATATCTTGTTTCAAATGAGTGAAGAAATAAGAAGAAAGAAAGGAAAGGGAAGGAAGGGAAGGAAGGAAGGAAGGGAGGAAGGAAAAGGAAAAACAATCTAGTTGTCCCAAACTGAGTCCTCGATACAAGATCTGAGTCTCTGGGGTCAAGCTGCTGGCCTCTGGAGGCTCAGGATCCTGCCCCGGTCAGGTCTGCATCTTTGGGGAGGAGGAGATGAGAGGCGGGAGGAGCCGCTGAGCCATCATAGTTCTCTGCTGATTCTCCATGTGAGGGTGGGTCAGCTGATGGGACTCACACAAGAGCAACAAGATCCCCAAAACTGTCCACTGCAAGACCCTACAAATCAGTGAAAGAGCTAGAGGACACCTCCGGGAAGTGCTCGACCACCCAGCCCCTCCTGAGCCGTGATCCCAAGGGGTGAGAGTGATCCAGCAGCTTTCCAGAGGTGCTTGGAAAAGGCTTCGTTTCTGTTCAGCTGGTTATTCCCGGAAAAGCCCCTCCAAGTCTGCAGACTTCATGGCCAGCTGACAGTTGCCACTGGAGTTGTGTTGTGTCAACAGCCTGTTTGGTAACAATAAGAAATGGTTAGCTCTAAGCCCTCTTTAAAGAGAAATGTTGAGAGAGTGGATGGCTGAATATGTGACATTCTTTGCTGGTTTACTTTTGGCTGCTTCTTGCAACCACACCAGATTTGGGGCTACGCTAAAATGACTGCATTAAGAGGAGGGGTTACAATCTCTTCCCCCTGTTCTATTTTGGATATTGCCTTTTCCCCAATTGTCTGTGTCCTCACAACAATCCAGTGAGAAAGGCAGAGCAAGGCGTAGCCCCAGTTTACC